ATATATATATTAGGGCTGTCAATCGATAAAAAAAATTCATCTGATTAATCACATCCTTTTTCTGTGATTAATCGCGATTAATCGCACACTTCATGAAATTAAGCATAGATCATTTATCTTGTTTCAAATGTTTATTTTGTCATCATTTGCTATATCTAGCAAAGTAAACCAAAAGATTGAAGGGTGATTCTCAAAAATCTATATTTTCTGCAAGCTTTTTTCAAGATAAATTTAGATGTCTTTTCAAAAAAGGACACTTAGAAACTCCAAAAGGACACCAAAGAACCAAATGATATAAGGAGCCCATATAAGCACATATGAAAGAAAAAAAATCAGAATTTTATAGTGTGTGTACAGTGCAACACCAAAGAGCTTTTTTACATTTTAGAGAAGCCAAGTTGCGATACCGAACAGGACCACATGGAGATGCCAAAAAAAAAACTAAACCAACTGCCTGCTGACTGCATATAGCCTATCTACTACAGTACACGGATCGATTCAGTATAACTAAACACAACAACATAAACATGACAAACCAAAACATTATCGTGAATGTGTGTGGAAACAACGGGAATGTACGGAAATGTCTGTGCCTGTGCATAAATACAATGTGCGATCAGTGCGTCAAGAGCACTCATACACGCATTATTATAACGGACTCACGCGTGCTTACTGTACGACTCCTGTACGCCACCGCAATCGTCTTTACCTTGATTGCAGTCTTCATCCATAAAAACTTTACTAGCGAGACTGGTTATCCAGTCGAGAAAACGTAGTTTGCGTATATATAAGTGTGTATATGATATGATATCTTGAAAGAAAAAAAAAACTGAATTATGTTGACATTCCTTATGGATATTTTGGACTAGGGATAACATGCAGTGGGATTTTCTCATTATTTCTTGGTTAAATTCTAGGAGGAGCTCAGTATCAAGCTGAAGTCCTTACAAGAAAAGCTCAAACACACAGAGGAAGTCAAAGGAGAGTGTGAGGAAGCAGTTCAACACATCCAGGTGAAGATACACTGCTAAATACTGTCCCTTCAGCACACTCAACACAGAACTGAACTGAACTGAACTGAACGTTATTTCTGTTTGTCTTTGAGACTCAAGCTCAGCACACAGAGCGTCGGATTAATGAGGAGTTGAAGAAGCTTCATCAGTTCCTCATCGATGAAAAAGAGGCACTAATCACTGCACTGTGGGAGGAAGAGGAGCAGAAGATTCAGATGATGAAGCAGAAGCTGGAGGAGATGAACACACAGATCTCAGCTCTTTCAGACACAATAAAGCACATCGAGGAGCAAATGAAAGCCAAAGATGCCACGTTTCTAAATGTGAGAACTGACCATATCTGATCAATTCTGACAATGTGTATAAAGATTCATTTGATATCATTTAATTTATGCCAAAAAAAAAAGTTATGGGAGGTGGAATCAAGAGGTCATGTTTTGGCTGGTTAGCATGGCACTGTTGGCCCCTGCTTGTATGCTATCTGGGCCCCAAAAGCTTTTATTAACCCATAAATACAGTGGGTACGGAAAGTATTCAGACCCCCTTAAATTTTTCACTCTTTGTTATATTGCAGCCATTTGCTAAAATCATTTAAGTTCATTTTTGAGGTAATAAAAGCTTTTGGGGCCCCGATGATGTAGTTACATCTCTCTCTCTCTCTCTCTCTCTATATATATATAAGCATTTTAATTTAGATTATATTATTTTAACACAATTTGTGAAGGAATTTTTTAATTATTTATTATTTATGTTATTTTAACAATATTTAAAGAAACAAAATGATGTCAGTTTAGCTTTATTTTTAGCATTTTAATTATATTAAAATTATATTATATTAAACACAATATTTAAATTATTTTCTTTGTTTTTCATATTTATACTATTTTAACACAATATTTGAAGGACAAAATGATTTTTTTGTCAGTTTACATCTTGATATTATGTGTTTTTAGCATTTTAATTTAGATAAGAGGTATATTATTTTAACAGAAACATTTTTTTATTAACAATATTTGAAGGAAAAATTATATCAGTTTACACCTTGATTTTTTGTAACATTTTTATTT